TCAACTCGCGCTCGAGCTCATGTTTTTACTAGCCCCAGCAGTCCACAAGCTCCGTTTTCGCGAGCTAACGAGCCGCTCGGCCCATTTACCACCCCTAACGACAGCCGCATTTTGGCCCGAGCAGTTCATAGTTCAGAAATAAATTTTTCGCAACCAGCAAATGAAAAATATTACCTTGTCGACTTGGGGTTTGCGCACAAGCCTGGATATATGGCATCGAATAAGGGCTCCGATATTAGATATCATTTTCAAGAGCGATACAATTTCCACCACTCGTCATATTGAAATGTTATCGAGCGGGCGTTCGGTGTTTGGAAATAGAGATGGAAGATTCTAGATCAAATACCAGCTTACAGTATGAAAGCACAAACTGCTGTGGTCGTAGTCACAATGGAAATTCGTAACTTCCTTAGGAGAAACGATCAGTTTGATGAGAGTTTTCGTAGAGCCGAAGAAGTGGATGACGATGAAGTTGAAATCGACCTTCCGAATGACCAGGATGATATTGTAGCCGAACTGGATGCAATAGACGAGGAGGACATGTCGTGGCAACAACTTCGCGATTACATAGCATAGGCATTACATTAGTAGTCGTATGATGGGGACGAAATGGTACGTTATGTTGCATGCATGTTGTTATCTGTGTAACGTGTTCTCATTTTGTTGCTGCGTCAAGTGTCGTTGATGGGGACGTTAGTTGTCATCTTCTAATTGTAGTCTGCCAACGATTACGTATCGGTGCATGTATGTTTTCGTATTAATAAGTTATTGGCTTCTTGTACTATCCCCTTCTAGACGAGTTTATTGAATCATATAAATTTATGTTCGTGTTTTTTGTAATACATATATGTAAACGGGAAAATTGGGGTTTGGAAATAATTATTTATTTTTAACCAAGAGATGGTTTAATTTCAAAAAATTAAAAAAGAAAAACAAAAACAAAACGAGACGACGTGTTAGAGGGAGAACTGAATGATGAATATTGACAAATTATCGTGTCCCATATGTAGATTTGTAAATGAATTTGTGAAAGGGCGGATAATTTACACCACGTGGTCGGAAATGTTGACTTTTCTACAAGGGATTTCATGGAATTCTTGAAAATAGGTCAAGTGGGAATTCAAGGGCTGCTAGCAAATTCAGGCTACTGTGTCAGAAACGAAAAACAAAAACAAAACGAGACGACGTGTTAGAGGGAGAACTGAATGATGAATATTGACAAATTATCGTGTCCCATATGTAGATTTGTAAATGAATTTGTGAAAGCGCGGATAATTTACACCACGTGGTCGGAAATGTTGACTTTTCTACAAGGGATTTCATGGAATTCTTGAAAATAGGTCAAGTGGGAATTCAAGGGCTGCTAGCAAATTCAGGCTACTGTGTCAGAAACCATTAATTATATTCTCAGTGGGGCCCACGGACGGCAGCAAGATTATGGAGAGAATGGGATGAGAATGGGGCCAAACAGACTCTTTAGAACATGTATTATCTCATGGGGTATTATATCTCGCGCCTTTTGTGGTGTTTCAACACAAACAAAAAAAGATTTGGTAAAAGACTAAAAATTGGAAATAAAAATTAGAAAAGTTGTAGGTCATTAACAATAAATATTGTGTATTTGTAGACATCTTGCGAGTTAGCAGGTCAAGTCTTGAGTTTGTTAGGCAAATATCTAATTTTTTTTGGTAAATCTCGAGTTTGCTATGCAAAAGTTAAGTATGCTAGATAATTCGGAGTTCCTTACAGTTCAAGAAAATTGATCTCAAATCAGAAAACAAAAGCGCAGGGGAACAGTAGGGCTTGGAATCGAATCTTCACTACCTATTTTATAGGATTGAGTTTGTTGTGCAAATCTTGAGTTTGTTCAACTACCTGGTTTCAAATCCGCATAATTTTTTTTTTTTTACAGCTTCGATTTGTACTCCGATTGAATTTGTTGTGCAAATTTTGAGTTTGTTCAACTACCTGGTTTCAAATCCGCATAATTTTTTTTTATTTACAGCTTCGATTTGTACTCCGTCTTTGTGTGGAACTCTCAATTCAATAATATTTTCAATTGTTTTTTTTTTCCTTGTGAATATATGCGTAACATGAGTTGTGCACTAATTTCCTTACATATTCCATAGGTAGGTATAATAAGGAACGTGAGCATGTTAGGAAATTAGTGCAAAGCTTATGTTATATGGATCTTCCTAGGGCAAATTATATAGCATTTGAAAGCTAATTGAATTTGGAGTTGAATATAAATGGAGTGTAATTCAGAGTTGTAGATCAAAAATTATGCACATTTGAGATTAGACAGTTGAACAATATCAAGTTCGCAACACAATTCTCGAGTTTACTTGGTGAATCTTGAGTATGCTCAACTGTCTAATTTTAAATGTGCATATTTTTATCTACATTTCAAATTGCACTCTGTCTTTTGCATTGAGTGCAGAGTGTTACAAATTTAGAATATTGTTGTAATAAAATTGATCGGGAAAGCCATAAGGGGACACGGAAATCACGAATTAATCACACATAAAACCTATGTTGAAATAACCCAAGCATTATCCCAAAATTATGTCTTCTAAGGCAAAATGCCCAAGTCACTAAGTAAATTCCATAGAAAGCATCCAAATGTCATTTATCAAAACAGTTTAACGCATAATCAAAATAATGCATTTTAGTAATTTGAGTTGTGCGTCCTGCAAAATGCTGATCCTAACGTATCAGAAAAGGTAAATTCATCTACATTATAACAAAATCCTTAGTTCCATTTAGCTAACATTGACTCCTTAGTTCCATTTAGCTAACATTGACTCCTTAGTTCCATTTAGCTAACATTGACTCCTTAGTTCCATTTAGCTAACATTGACTCCTTAGTTCCATTTAGCTAACATTGACTCCTTAGTTCCATTTAGCTAACATTGACTCCTTAGTTCCATTTAGCTAACATTGACTCCTTAGTTCCATTTAGCTAACATTGACACCTTTATATTTGGAATAATCAGCAGCCTCATTTGAATATTTGTACGCAATATTCAAGAACGAAGAGTGCTCAACCACCACGCATACGTAAATTAACTAACCATTCATCGCATAAACACTGTCTTCCCCATTCTACATTTAATTTGGAGACTCAATATAAATTATAAACTCGACACGTTGCCATCAAAATCTATAGATTGTTAGCAAACTAGAGATGACAATTTGAACCATCAAAATCGAAAATCGCGGTTAACCGAACCGAATGGAGCGAAAAAAAAATCGAACCGATAGTGCAATGGGACGAATATAGTTTTGATTTTAATGAACCGGTTCGTAATGGTGTAGGTATGGTATTTACGTCGTCGAACCGAAATCGAACCCATTACCCGCTAAAAAAATATATCAAAAAAAAAAAAAAAACACACAATTGAATTGATTATGGGCTTTACACTACTTTTCTATCCAGACCAAAACAAAATCTCTCCCTTCCTCATTACATCTACCTGACTCATTCGACCAACTCACTTATCATTAGCCCATAATAGCATTAGTATGACAGTATATAAATGCAAACCTTACTCTCCACAAACTCACGCACGACTCCACTGCCTCTACGGTCCAAGTCATCGTCACCTCCGAAAATTTGTTACATTTGTTAACCATTCTATTATTTATGATCATGTAAAAACAGAATTCGATATTTTTCTAGACGTGCCAGTATTGTCAAGGATGAATAGGAATCAACTTTGAATGCTGATCTATGTTAGTAAGACTTGTAGGGAAGAATGAATCAAGTAACTTCGATGCACGACAATTAAGAATGAAGGAAAAGTTTAGTATTATTATATTTATAATATTGTTTGTTAAATTTGTATTTTACAATTGAAAATTAGGATAATGTTTGTATTTACGTTTGAAATATTATTTGATAATGTTTGCATTTTCATTTGGAATTATTGTGTTTTTGTTTTCATTGACTTTTTTCATAAATTGTTTTATATCAATTTGACGGATGAACCTATAAAAAAATAATTTATTTTTGTAGTTATTAACCGAACCGAACCGTATCGAACCGACATACAAACCGACCCGATTTACGTGATTATGGTGCGATTATAGAATGGTCAAAAAATTGATGGTGCGGTTATGATTTTGGCCGAGCCAACCCATAACCGAACCGTTGCCAACCCTACACCAAACTCAAATTTTGCTCTATGAAGTTAGACATTTGCATAACCACTTACAAAATTCTAATAGAGTATTCGATACTTTCAAAATTTTCTTTATATTATCCTAAATGCAATGTTTAGAACATATTCTAATTCTTGTCATCCAAAATCCCGAAAATTTCTACGAATTTTGAAAATTCAAGAGATTCTAAAGATATACCATTCTGTCTTTACTATTCAATTGAATGGTAAATATTAATCAAAATATCTAGCCGCCATTTCTCATCTCCATATGTAAACTCCATCTTTTGACATTTCTTGAACAAATATTCGAAAATACAAACACATCACGATCATGAACCGATTCAATTTCAACACAATAAATAAACAAAAAAAAAAATTCATGATAGCTGACTATTTATCCTCTAGATATACAGAAAAATGCTCGTTATTCCACCAAAAAAAAAACATAACTCAGCAAGAAATAAAATTCCAAGAATGAATAATCAACATTTCGATGCAAAAATAACCATTTTTAATCAATAATCCAAATATTATAGCAAAACAATTAAGAAATAGATCTACCCAAAACTTATCCACACCAAAAAATATAACAACCTCATCGAAGAAGACTCGACTGAATTGGCATAACATGACAAAAATGTTTCATAGGTGAACGTCAGTGAATAGATTTTCTTAGATGATCGCTCGTCGGCAATGGGGTGGGCATTGGGGATGGGACATGAATTTCACATCTATTTTTTATTTTTGGACTGTAATTTTGGATCTTATTTTTGTGCAATACACCTTTGACCAAATTCTCCAAAATGAAATGAAATTTAATTATTTAAAAATGTGAAAATACAACTTTAACCTTCTCATGTGAAACCAAATTGAAGGAGGAATTCGGGGCTTTCATTCACGTGAGAAACCATATTCTTCCCCAAATTGAAAATTCAAAACCTTCTTTTCCTTCAAATTCTCAAAAATCATATTCTCCTTCAAATTCCCAAAAATCGTCTTCTTCAGCACCTTAAGCTCTGAGTGGTACGTGCAACACGCTTGCAGATCTATACCAATGCAAACACTGGCACCAGCTCACCCTTAAGCTCGAACATTTCGTCGCACTTGCTATCTTTCAGGTTACAATTCACAAACATAGATGTGTACTAAAATGTGCATTCTAAGAATTGATTGTCAATCGAATTTTTTTATTTGAATTACTTGCCATATTTTTTTTTTCAAGTTATTTTTTTTTCTAGGGAGAGGAATACTTTATTTTTGATTCCTCTATTTTTGTTCTCTAGATTTGAGGAATTGGGGGTGGGAGGTTAAAAAAAGACTGAATTTATGGTTAATTATATATATATTCTATGAAAATTTCGAAGAATTCCAAGTTAAAAGTTCCTTGGTCATTGTTTATCTTTTTGTTGGATGTAGGCCTCAAGTATTTGCAATAAAACAGTAGGTTATGAAACTACATTTGTTAGTTTATTTCCATTAATGGAAAAAATAAATGGATTGGACATGTGGCTCTTAAGGTTCATAAGGAATATGGTAAAAGTAAAATACAAACTAATTTTCATTTTGTAATATTTAAGTAAAAATTGAGCATTTCATATCTTGTAATTTCCTGAACAAGCTGACAGCTAAACCTCTGTGTATGTGTGTTGTATCTATGCTAATGGATAAGTGGAATTAGTTGAGATGGCCACCCCTCACTATGATTTTGTCCAAAAAGTAAATTTAGGGAGAAATCGAAGCTACACAATATGTGAATTGAGAATGACTTGAGGTTCATTGCTTGTGATTTTCTTTGGTTCTTAATTTCTTGCATATTGAAGTTGGTTTTAGATGTTGATTTTTGAAGTTGCCGATGATAATCTCCTTTATTGTCAAAATGCTTGTGATTATATGATACCTTCAAACTACTATAATATGTACAATTGGGTTGATCTGATTGTTAATTTCTCTAACTGATCATCATTGAAACTCGACTACCATGATGCTTTAATATTATTTCCTTCGTTTTGTCGATGGGTTAAACGTGATGTGCTTAGCTATGAGGAACATTAACGCTATTTAATGTAAAACACTCATTAAGTTAGGCTTTCACTAGCTTCTTTTGTTTTCTAGAAGCAACCTTTTAATTGAACTCTTAGTTAGATTTATTGCCTAGCACTTTTATTTCTAGTTTTTTATGAGGGCGATTGAAAATGAGCTTAGCTTACACTTTACAGTAAAATTTTTCAGAGAGTCATATGTACTTAAAATGAGGTTCAAAATTGATATTGTACTTGCTCTTCAGTATTTGATAGGATTAGAAAGGAAGTAAAAGAGGATGTTAAGGATGAGATAATTGACATATTGCCCAAATATGTATGTGAGTTGAGAGTAACTTGAGGCTCATCGTGTTTAACTATTTTCAAATTTGATGTTTTCTTTCTTCTAAGTTTTGAGGAAAACAAATAGAAGTCTGTACTTAGAATTGGACTTTATTCCTTTTATTAAACTATCAAGTAATTTGTGAAGTGAAATAAAATCTTTCATGATGATTTTCACGTTTCTGGTTATATAGCTGGTGATTGTATTTGCAAGATGTTAATAGAACTTTTTTGTAGTGAAGTACTACAGTGCTTGCAATCTGTACAAAATTTCTTTTTTCTTATTTGAAATTTGTATGCTTAATTTGGTTTATACAGCTTATAGATCTTGTTCTTATGTGCTTTACTGTCATCATTTATTCTAATATTTGTAATTGTTTTGTATTTTGTAGTGTTATGGAGAAGATTCAAATTAATTCTACCATAACGACTAGATGCAAACTAAAAATAGTATACGATGTTTATGAGAAGCTGGATATAAATTACAAGAACAACTTCAAGAAAGCTACTTTGGATCACTTCTTAGACTGGAGAATATTAGGTTGGCTTCACAAATTGTACATCAATTACTATCGCAAAAGATGAAGACCACTAAAAGATAAACTGCCAAAAAAGAAGCAGTATGGTTTAAGATTGAAGATAAATAAGCAAGATTTGGATTGAAAGAATTTGTGTTATTGACCAACTTGAATGTAGGTGATTGTAATGATGTAGATAATACATTGGGGACTGACTGTCAAATTGTGGAAAAAATAATTTAAGCAAAGTGAGGGAAAGATTATTAAGTGAGATGCGTACAATGCATATGTAAGTTACAAAAAAAGAAAAAGAAAAAAGAGCAACAAGTACAAGTTGGGATTGATCGTCATCTTGGCATACATCCTGTGGGCCACGGAGGCGAATACATATATTAATTTATGGTGGTTTCATTTGGTGGATGATCTCAACATGTTCGAGAATTATTCATGGGAAAAATTTCATTTGAATTCACAATTAACGTATTCAAACGTAACATAGGGGATAAATTGAGAAATTCAAATGTATGATGAGAGTCACATTGTAGGTATTCATTGTATGAGTTTTTCCTTGTTATAATGGTATGAACAAATAAGGCACTTGACTTTGTATTTTTTTTCTCTATAAATTTGTACTGTGAGATAATAATGTTTGTTTCACAACGGATTTGGACATTTGAAGCGATTTCAAGTTTGGAAATCAAGTTTGCTAAGAAATATACGAATGCAAATCCAAAAATGCTCGCTTGAAAAATGTCGAAGAGGTTAACATCTGTTGCAATTGAGAAGGTATTGAAATAAAAAGAGGTAAATTGCCTTTTTGTTTTATTTAGTTTAATGGAGACAAATTGTGAAATTTGCTTAGCAAATGACTAATTTTTGAACAATTTAATATTTGCAATTGGAGGTTAATTCTATATTGCTTCCTACAGAAGCTGAACTCGAGAAAGTTTATTGGAGTAGATTCTGATTGTGGAAAAAGATGAGGATGCTCCAAACCATTCAGAAGGAGATGAGGTTGAGTATGATATTGGCCATGTGATTCCTTCCACCAACAATCTCTTAGGGCGTCACAACCCCCACCCGGTATCGCATTTGGCAATGGATATACGAATGCAAAATACACTTGCTTCCAACAAAAATTAGTATTAAAGGGGTTGCACAGGTTATAGCCATCATCTCATTTAAACCTTATGGCAGCAATTGTATGTGCGCATGATACCATGTCAAAATCAAATTTTTTGCATGTACACTTTCCTTCATCCAAGTTCATAAAGTGGTGTTCTAAATTGTAACCAACCCGATACATGTTTTGGGATACGTGATTCACCTCAAACTCATTTGACTCATTATATTTCATACACATTTTCTTCTCCAAAGGTAGCTTGAGGTGGGTTACACATTTTTCATTTTCGACATTTCTTTCACAAAACCACATTTGCATAGTCTCTCTGATATACTCAATCAAACCATGGAAAATTTTCGAGCACTCTTCAAAAAACATTATGCAGTTTTGCATTATTTTGTACTCATGATATTGTAACGTATCCCAATAAATAGTGCTCTAACCTAATAGAGGAAATTTTTTTCTAATAGGCACTCTTTGACGTTCTTCTTTTACTGCATAAAGCTTCCGTGTTGGACTCAATTTTCGTTACAGTATAAGCCTTCAATGTGCACTGAACAAAGTTGCAAGATCACACCATGAAAAATTGGTCTTCAAATTCTTTTTCAAGTATGTGCAATTTTCATGATTAGCAAATTGAAATTGAAAGACATTTCTAACTCCATTTTTAATATATGTCCCATAGTTAGATATAATTCCGAACTTGTCTATATCACCTCATTTTAATTGCAACTTCTAAAATAACCAAGTTCAGAATCCATCATTCTCTAAATCAACTACTCCTCATGTGAGTGGAAATATTTGAAAATTTACACCCTAACAAGTTGCTACAAATAGAGTGCCTTTCATTCTCGATTTAAAAATTGTACCATCCACAAAAATTAATAGTTGCATTGAGTTGAGGGATCAACATATACTTGATCCTAAGTCCATAAATAAGTACTTGAAACGTTGATCATCAGTAATATGAATGAATGTCAACGTATCAAAATTTTGTACCTCCGAAACATGACAATACGTTGGAAATTTTGCATAACTCTCACGGGTTTTTCACGAATCATCCCTCAAGTGAAATCTTTAGCCATATACAATTTAGTATAACTTACAGTTATGCCAAACTCTCGACGAATGTCATTAATGATGTCCTTTGATTTGTAAACTTGATTGGCATCTTGATATTTATGGGTGATGTGGTTTCAATAATCATATAAGAAGCACGTCGATGATCTGTGCGACGAATACTTGTTGAGCAAGAGTTTTGACCATTGTATTTTTGAATTTCAAAAATCGGACTTTCTTTGATCTTGGTTGCCCGCAAGGACCACTTGTAATTTTCATCAATATGAACAATTGTATTAGTACTCTTATTTAACTTCTTAGCTTTGAACTGAAAGTGGTACTTCATTGCCAATAACTTCAATTTTGATATTAAATCATTCTTAGATGAAAACAACTAGTTGACTTGCACGTCTTCATTTTTCGAAATTCTTACTAATGTCCCCTAATGAAGGAAACTTAGACTTGCTGATACATTCTGATTACAATCAATATCATTATCATTCACTACATTCCAAATATAGGATTCATCTGCGTATAACTCCTCATCATTATCGTCTGCTATAGGAAAATTATCTATGACGGACTCTTCGAGGACTATCTTTACTTACGTCAAAATCATTGCAGTCTACAAATATTTCGTCACCATTGTTATGGTTACCATCATCATCCGTTCGAACAAGTTCCTGGCCATTCATATTTTCAAAACTGTTATTCATCTTCTATTAGTAATAAACATATTTTATCACCAAGATCTTCTTGATTTTTAACAACTTTATTCTGAAGGGTTTATACAAAGAGAAGTTTCTCTATGGACGGATAAAAACCACTTCATATTGTTGTCAAAATCAATGATGGTTGGTGCAATTGGAACGTCAAACATTTTGAGGACAAAAGCAAATATCTCCATTTTGCATAGCTTTGTATCGATCTTCAGCACATCTTTGACTTCATCATGCAAGTCCATATAAGTCGTTTTCGAAACAAGAATATGTGTTTTTCCCTTGCCATTCCCTACATATTCCCATTACCATGCACCTTCAACTAACTTCTTATATTCAACAAGAGATGGCAATGGGCCGAGCCAACTTAATCCCATGAGCTCGGCTCACGCTTGTGGCAAGCCGAGCTCGTGGCTCGTTGAAATTGGGCGAGCTCGACTCGGCCCACGAGCTTGTGGCTCATCCGAGCTCGTGGGTCGAGCCGAACTTGGGCTCGTGTATTAAAAATAAAAATAAAATGTTAAAAACTATGATTTCTTGACCATATAAAAAGTGTTAAAAAAATAAAAATAATTTAACAAAAATAAATTTTTATTTTTTTTAGTTATATCATATGATTCATATTGTAATACTTTTTATAAAGTATAAAATATTTATATAATGAAGATGAATTATTTTTTAAAATACATTTACAAAAAATATTTTTTTTTGATTTCTTTTTAAAATTAATAAAATGTAAACCCTCCTCCTTTATTCGAGTTTGGGACCGACTACATCAATTTTAAGTAGGCGGAGTTAAAAATTGTACACGAACAACTTGTTGTAACGTGTACAATTTTTTAAAGAAAATTAAATTTAACGATTAAAAAATAATGAAATTTTGATTAATATAATTAAATCAAATATCACTTATCTGACGACATGCAATTTCAGCGTATTTATCTTGTAGTCGAAAATGAGCGTCCTGTCAATCATTCACGCACATTAACACTTCCAAAACATCTTCTTTCAGTAGGCTCCTAACATCGGTCAAAATCCTTTTACCTGCACTAAAAGCAGACTCCGAATTAACAGTGCTAACAGGAGGTGTCAACAAATCTTTCGCAATTGCAGAAACAATTGGTCAACGTCTTTCATACTTTCGCTAAAATTCAATTACTTCTTCTAAACTTTTTTTAATTGTTCTGTCTGTTGGCATATTATGATTGAAGTAATCAATTAATTCGGCAGATATCGCATTTTGAGTTTCGACTGATGTTTAATGAGATGCAAATGTAGACGACATGGCACTAAATGAACACATTGCGGTTGTATCATATCTAAATGTATTAATACCTTGAAATTCATTATTTTCACAGTATCTTCTTCGGTGTCAGCAGAAGGAGTAGGTGCAACAGAGGGTACCCGACTAACATTCGCACCCATTCTTTCCGCATATAAATTATACATTCCACATAATGTTTGCTCTAAATTCTTATAAGTGATAGGTGTATCAAGTATTAAAACTTTATTGATTTGATCAATTACGTATTTAGTTCCCAAAATATTATATCGAGAGTCCATTATGCATGCTAAAGGAAATATCATAGACAGTTCTTCCCAATATTTTCTAAACTTCAATTCCATAACAATTAAAATTTCACTAAAAGCATGATTATTTTTATATTTATAAAATGTTCTTACAATTATATAAAGACATTCAAGCACCATACATCTTGTGGGATAATAAACGCCGAATAAAATCTCTGTGGTCTCATAAAAAGATGTCAAAAATCGTTTAACTTTCAAAGCTAAAATCCAATCGGATTCATTTAACATACCATCGTCATCACTTCTAACATGTTTATTATTATAAAAGTCAGTTATTAAATTTTGGAAACCTTCACATGATTTTAATAACAAGTATGTAAAGTTCCATCTATGACATACGTCACTAACAAATGTTTTAGCAATTGTCACCCCTAGTTCGATACAAAAATCTTCAAATGCTTGTTTTCTATTAGGAGAAATCGTAATATATACTAATGCATTCCTAATCCTTTGAAATTCATCCTTTATATGTTTTAAACCATCTTGTACAATTAAATTCAAGATATGACACACAACGAATATGAAACAAATACCCACCAAAATCAGGTTGAAGTGTCCTACACAATTTATCGACGACTATCTTATTAACACTAACATTATCAAAAGTAAAAGATCGAATTTTAGTCTCGCAATGATATTCTCTAACAATACTGATAATAGCATTATATATATTATTAGTATTGTGAGGAAACTCAATAATTCTAAAAGTAATAATTTTCTTATACATGCACCAAAGTGGATCTATATAGTGTGCAGTTGCAGCTATATATGCTCTTTTATTAACCCCTTCCCATATATCAAAAGTTAAAGATATAACACCCCCATATTGTTGCAAATTCATAATTAATTGTTGTTTTGAATTATTGAAATAATTTATTGTATTGGCATGAAGAGTGTTTCGACTTACCCCGACGTACGTCGGTTGTAGATATTCTTTTACGAACGAGACGAAGTGTTGGTTGTTTGCAATAGCCAGATGCAACTCAGTGGCAGCAACAAATTTCACCATTCCGATTCGAGTATTGTCCTCCGAATATTCCCATGTGGATAGGGGTGAAGTTGTAGAATCGGCGTCTGGACTGCCAAATTACAATTGTGTTTGACCAGCTAGAAGAAGTTCATATCTGGCCGCACATGCTTTGTAGTGGCGGTTGAGATGGGTGGTACCAATTCCTTTTTGCCATGCAAATCTTTGTTGGCAGTATTTACATACTGCTTTAGATTCTGCAATGTCATCAACGACTTTTCCCGTTGAAACCAACTTAAAGTGATCCCAACATTTTGCTTGTTTTTTAGCCTTTCGCTTTCCCCTCGAATCTGAGATATTTAATTCAGTATCTTCATCTTCATGTTTCGCTTCGAGAATGTTAATATCATCCAAATCAATTAGATTGTGGCTTTCCTGACCATGAATGTGAACATCTTCAAGTATCGGTATGTCATTTAAACTGGCAAATTCATTTGAAAATTGATTTTGCGGCGTCGTAGGCGATTCTCCATGATGTGGCAGTAGCTCACATCCTATATCGAACAATCTCTCAACAAATGAGTGTTGATTCATTTGTTTGATTGTTTATGATGAAATATTAATTAGATGAATATAAATGTAGTGAGATTGTGAAAATTGAGAATTGAAATTGTAATTAATAAACTGTAAAAATTGAATTGATATTGTATATTTTGCAACACAATTTTCAATTGCACAAGAGAGTAAAAATAAAAAACTCAATAATTAATATTATAAAAGAAAGTTGAGAGGGTTGTAGACTTGTAGTAGCAAGATATGAAAAAAAATTTTGGGAGAAGGGGGTATTTATAATAGAAGAAGGGGGAATAATAAATAAATTTCAGTGACCAAAACGGTCACTGAAAAAAATTCAGTGACCGTAGCCTGGCTCGTGGCTCGTTGGGCTCGCCTCACGGCCTGGCCCGCTCGTGCTCGTGCTCGAGCTCGTATTTTACGAGCCCGAGCCGCCCACGAGCCTCCTTTCACGAGCTGAGCCGCTCGACATCCCAATATTCAACTGAATAATTAATTGATATCGATACTATATCCATGGTGTCCATAACTACAGCTCATATAAAAATTGTAAAATTTAATCAAA